TGCTTTTCATTTAGTGAGTAATGGCATTGCTACAATGGGAGCAGAAGAATAACTTAGTCCTGTCCTAGGACTGTAACTCTGGGGTACTTGAGAATGATGCAGAGGGTAAGGACAGAGCCAGTATTGCCTCATGTGAACTAAACTTAAATGTCTCTTCCTCCTCCAAAACCACCTTTTTCCTCTTCTCTTCATGTACATCCCCAGTCTGGACTGGTCCCCTAAATTTCCCGTAGTGATAAAAGAAAAAACCATGTTACTTACCATGGCTTCCTTCAGATCCCTGAACCTGGAGTGCTGATATGAGCCTGGGCATTCAGTCTGCTGCACTTCCCCTAATTTTTCCATTTCGTTTGCAATCTGAATTGAGAAGCGATAGAGCCTTCAGGAAAGGAGATGTTTCTGCTAAAGAGACTCTGCCCTAGTTATAGATTAGGATGAAACTGTAAAGTTGCCTGTTTCCAGGTGCTGTGATTGTGCTACAGCAAACTTAAAATCAGGATGCTAGGAGTGCTTTTAGGAGGGACTACACATGAAGTATTTGAAAGGATAGAAAATACAGGTGTCTGATAGGTATACAGATGTGTGATGTGTATACAGATACATGTGTGTTTGGGGAAAGAAAGACACACGTATACAGTAAAGCCTATGCCATCTCTTTTTTTGCCTGCATCTTTTACAGAAAAGGGATCCTAGCTAAAACCAGAGCAGTTGTGTCTGATAGGTATACAGATGTGTGATGTGTATACAGATACATGTGTGTTTGGGGAAAGAAAGACACACATATACAGTAAAGCCTATGCCATCTCTTTTTTGCCTGCATCCTTTACAGAAAAGGGATCCTAGCTAAAACAAGAGCAGTTTTACAGTTCAAAACCTACCTCTTGAAAGGGTTCTGCCAGGTTTTCAGCGTTCCTCTTGCCTCCTGGTTGCAGGCCGTAAGACCAGTGCTGAGCCAAGCAGATGTCCACAGACAAGGCAAACAGGAGGACACCGACAAAGATCTTCCTGGGCTTCTCCATCCTGTGAGAGAACAAAGCATCTTTCTGCTCATAATGACACCACAGCTCTGTTTTTATCTTGGAGAATTATGAAAATGTCACATTTCTGGATGTCCAGTTCTGGTCTCTGCTGGCGCGGTGCCTCCGTGTGAGCCACAGCTGGATGTCGAGCCTCTCAAAGTGTGGATTAGCTCATTATAAAGAGATTAAACATCTGAAAAATTTGGATGAAGATCTTAATTAGGATTTTTGAACACCCTTTCAGTTTTAGCAATGTCTGGACCTCAAAGGTTCCACGAAAGTCCCTGTTGCTATTTGACAGATGTGTCCAGTTTAGCCAGTTTCTAATGTCCTTGCTCCTTCAGAATTGCTCTTTGCAGTCTCTTCTAATGCAAGTTTCTTCTAATACGAGCATCTGTAAGTAAAAGTAAGTAAAAAGGGAACATGATCTGTTGCTCAAGCACGTTACCTGCTTGCTGAAAGGCTCCAACTCTTCTCCGTTTGAAAATGCCCTGTGAGTACACTTATCCTCTCGCTTTTTATACACAACCACCCCAACGCCACACCGTTCCCAGCAGGTAACTCCAGCCGACTCTAGCTCATAGGCTGCAATTTTGTTCTTAAAATTGCTGTAATGCAGCAGAAGCAAAGTACATAATTGGGAGACCCCTGGTGTAGCTATTAAATTCAGCCGGTTTTTCTAAGAGCCATGGAAGTATCAGTACTTCTTTTCCGAGGCTGCAAATCTGACGTTCAGATCTCAGTGACTGCTGCTGCCCCATGGAAAATACAGAATCTTTTCTTTCAGTGGCTTCTAATGTTTCAGCTGAATTTCTTGGGTGAGGTTGAATTTGTCGAGGGGCTCACAGGAGTTGACTTGGATGAGGAGTTGGGCTCAGTTTTGGTATCAGGTGCAGAAACAAGAGCCTGGGATTGCACAAGGGCACAGAGCGCTTTGAAATCCCCCCTCCTTGGTGTTTACATTAAAATGCTTTCACATTCTTTGCTCTATATAACAAAGTAGTATAATACAATAATATCATGCAAAGTAGTATTAAACTGATCAAATGGCCAAGTATTTTAGATTTAAATGTGCTGGGGAAGGGACCCTCTGTGTTGAAACCGTGGGATCCCTTTCATGAATAGGACTCCTACTTTATTTTGGAGTTTTATACTTATTTATTTACTTATTTTATATAGATGTGTGTGTGTGTGTGTGTCTATGTATGCATTGAAGTACTTTTAGAATTCCTAATTCCTTAGAGTTCATCCAGTGCAGTTTTGTAAAGGGGTTGACAGCCATTTGAGCGCAGGAGTTAAACGAAATGTGATTTTTTTCAGCCACCTGGCAGCTCTCTTGACTTGCTGTGGCCTCTTTTATGTGCAACTGAATGTCTCATGGTTATTGTTCTTCAAACATCCTCTCTTCCTGCTCCCATGACCTCTTTGAGATTAATGGATTAAAAGTCATTTAATAAGTAAATAATTTAAGGAGGATTTAGTGACTCTAGAAAAGAGTCATTCTTCCTGCTCTAATGCTCCTCCTACTCATGGCAAGAGCATCCAACATTTACTTCAGCTGATAAACGGATCAAGCTGTGAAAATAAGTTTGTTTCAGTGGGAGGAACGTTACCTCAGCGTAGGCACATCACTTTGGAAAGGAGATTTTCCTGTACGGTCTTTTAAGGCTCCTTCCTTCCAGATGAGCCTAGCAAAAAATAAGGTTATTTAAAGGTAAATAGAAGATTTTGTTCATCCTGAGGGATGACATTCAAAGAGAAGGGGGCCCACACAGCCCAGTAATTGCACCTTTTATTAACCCATCACTTTAAGCTATGTCTAATGCCAGCCTACGCTTAACATCTTACAGCTCTACTTTTCCCCATTCACTTCTAACTTGGTGTCCATCCCATACGAGTCAGATAATACCAAGATTTTTGTTTTAAATGAAGAAAAACCAAGACACTTTGATATTTCACACTTTTATTAATGCAATTTAAATCAGCCTGGAACCTGCGCATTCTGAATAGGCCACTTTGGGCTATTCATACAGCTCTGACATAGCACAAGAGGTACCTTCGATTCATCCGTGAATGAACAATGCCGTGTGCTGTGATTATTCAAAACATAGTGCTTCAGTGACAGTTCAAATATACTTTATACACAGTGATTATGAAAATAGATATTTTTCCATACAATATTTTTTACTTCTGCCAGCTACAAAATATGATAAAGAAAAATAATTCATTTATTTCTCTAGCCCTAGGAATCTTCTACTGCAACATACACATCACTCTCAATGAAAGCGATGAGGTGTGGGAGAAAGGACTCCAAAACCACGCTCAACTATTTCCCTTGAACCTCTAGGTGTGTTTCACCGAGGATACGGTGTTGTCCTAGAGCCAGATCAAGGCCTGGGAATCCGGAGGAAATAAAACCCCAACTCTGAACCGCACGGCTGTGGGATTTTGAGTCCCAGAAGTTCATGTTCACATGCCTGAGTTAACCAAAATTGAAAATAAGGGAGAATCCTGCAATTCCCCCAAACCAACCATGTACTGGTCCTGAACTGATCTTTAGAGATTGATGGCAAAGCAGCATTTTTGTAACAACTACCGAGACAACAAACTTCTGCTCAGAGGACAGGAAATCTGCACTGCAAGTACAAGACAGGCCCCTGAAGTGACTCTGGAACTCAAACTACTGCTAACAGCGTCCCAGTCTGTAAGTTTTGGGATGCACTGGTTCTTAACTCCCAGTAAAAGCTGTATTTCCTTAGATTCAAGGTTAGTTTTAACTTTGGGGTGTTTTAAGTAAGCATCTGAGGTAAGAGTTCTTGATGCACCTTTCTTTTCTTTTTGGTATAGTTTCTTCATGTGCTTTTTGATTGTGTGTAAAATAAACATCGTGTCAGATGAGAACTAGCTTGATACTACAGTGGAAACAGCTTATTAAACGAAGTGCACCACCACTTAAAGAGATGCTGTGAACTTTCTGCACTGCAGAAGCCACAGTGTTCCCTGTTTGCTCACAGGTAAAGCAGTCGTGAAAACATTGCCCTGTGCAAGATGCTTTGACAGCCACTTTAAGCAGGCCCAAAGTGGAACACTAAGATCTGGCTGGGAAAAGGATTATGCCCATGCTTTCAAGGATTCAGTGTACAGGAGTATTTGCATAGTACATTAAGGGGAAACAGGTGCCATTTATTCATATACTGGAGTAATGACGGGAGGATGGAGCATGTGCTGTGGCCCCAGTGCTCATCTCTACTTTGGTGACAGAATTGTATTTTCCTATGTACATTTAATTCACCACACAGAATGAAAAATCTACAGGTACTCCAGTTTGGAGTGGTTAGGGCATTGGAAAGCAAGAGAATTCTTCTTACCAGCTGTGACTGATTGATAGTGCAATTTCACACTGATTTGAAAAGGATTAAATAAGACACCCAGTTTCTGAACAGGGATGTTTTAGTTACCACTAAGTCTGCTGTGTAGGCAGATCCCTGCAGCTTCCACTGCACGTTTTAGAAGATGATAAAGCAGTTCTATACCTGCATTTGAACTACGACAAGGCAATATATTCCCTATGGTAACAGTTAACTGCTGTTTTCACCCCAGGAGAGTACCTGAAAACATCCTGTGGACATTGTCTAAACCACATCTGTCATCTACTACACTGTGCATGAATGAAGTAACTAACCGTAATACACTAGGCTAACTGTAAACCTGAACGTTGTTGCTACTATACATGAATAACATTTTCTATTCATATTGCAGCTACAGATTTAATAAATAGAATTGCATATATTGTGCTTTATAAATTAAAATGCAGTCCAAAGTGAGGCAATGCTAAACAACGACTCTAATTAACCCCCCCAAACTGGCCACTTCCTCGCTCTGTTCACAAAGGTACAAACAGTCTTTGTTTCTACCTCTTAAAAGCTCCCTCTCCCAACAGTGATGAAAGAAGAGTTTACTTAGGCACTACTGCAGATGGAAGTTGTCTAATAACCATTACTTTTAACTTAATAAGGGGAGGAGGTGAAGAAAGTCACAATAAATGGTTTGATTCCTTCCTCTTCGGCATGTTCTCTTCCCTATCTGACGCTCTGAGACATGTGCAAAGGTGTCAGCATCTCTTCAAAGATAGCTCCTTTTACGTTAGATCCCCTCAAATTGGCTTCTTGTAGGTCACAACCCGACAGATCACAATTCTAAAGGGTAAAAGAAAAACAAATGTTAATTGAATATCCCCAGACCTTAGTTCAAAACTTTACCTTAACTACATTTAGACAGAATTAGAGTTTTAGTTACTGCTTTTAAGAGAGTAGTTCCTTTTCATACTTTTAACAGCTGGATTTGTTTTTAAGTTGTTAGACTTACACACTTTATATCAAATTATCTCCCAGGAGTTACTAATGCTTGCTGAACACACCTTAGAAAGATGCCTCTTGCAGTCTCACCAGACATTACTGTGAGTACTGAGGAAGACCAGCCATGCACACAGCTTGCAGAATGAGCCACTGCCTTTCTAACTGACAGGGACAGCAGCATCACATGCCATCAGTCAGGTAAGATTCCACCATTACTCCACAAATTATGTCCTGGGATCAACAAAAAAAACCCAACAAACCCAGGCAACTGCATTTCTCTTCAGTGATGGGATGATCTGACACTACGAGTTAAGTTTAGCAGTATTTCCATGCATCACTCCTGAGATGATACAAGCCACTCCTGTGGCATTGAGGTGCTGGCAAATCCAGGACTTTAGACTCAGCCTCAAAACTGAGGCTAGAATGAAATGTGAATGAAAGCACTAGCACACTCTGTCTCGTTTGAAGCAGAACTCACCTAAAATCCAGCAAACCCCAACATTTTACCAGTTGACTAGTTGGTATGTAAAATGAATCATAACTCACTTCCAAATCGGTTCCTGCCAAAGTTGCTCCTCTAAGATTACAGTTTTTTAGCTTTGCATTTTTCAGCGTTGCAACTCTTAGGTTAATTCCTGTCATTTGACTGCCTTCCATGTCAACACCTTTCAGGTTGGCACCTAAAACACACAAAGAGGAGTTTTATGAGCAAAACCAGTCAGAAACACAGTAGCTCCAGAGTGATGCCTCCTCAGAGCCATGTAAATTGAGAGATGTCAAGGCAGAACTTGGAATTAAATATTCCAAGGCCCATATTTGTGGCCTCTTCTCATTAAAACATGGGTTGTACAAGCCACTGTAAACCTTTCATATGCCATACAGATTTACAAACACATGGTGCAGTTTCCACAGAGTGCCTAACAGGCTAAAACTTCTTACCTTCCAAATTAGCTTTAAGGCCTGATGGATCCTCAAAATTGCACCCTTTTAGAGATGCTCCTTCTGCGTTGGAACACAGCATCTTTACCCCTTGAAGGTTTGCACACTGATAGAGACAGACACATCAGTGAGATTCATAAAAGCGCAAAGATGAACAATACTGCAAATGACATTCGAAGACTTAACTCTTACATCAAGCACTGATCCAGAGAGGTCAGCTCTTTCGAGATTTGCACAGCACAGGTTGGCATGTGCCAGGTTGCAACGGCTCAGGTTGGCCATCTTGAAGTTGATGTATCGAAGATCTAGACGTGAAAGATCTGCTCCGCTGAAATTGAGACCCTAAAAACAAAGCGATAAACCCCAAACAGTTACAGAAGATCAAGTGTAGCACTGAACACAAATCAGTTAAGAGAATCATGTATATGTATATAAGTAGAGACACACAGACACATATACACAAAAGACCAGCTATTCTACTACACAAGACTAATGAAATGTGAATGCAAAGCTATCAAACATTGTCCTTGGTTATGTAGTGCATTTCACATTTAAACAAAATAGCTTAAATTGCTCCTCCAGGAAACCTTCAACATGAAGAAGGGAAAGTAGCCCAAAGAGCACGCTTGAATTTCATGTTAAGGTCACTCTGCCACAGCTTGGAATCAAAAAGGAGGGGAGAGGATGCACATGTTTGAATTTCATGTTGTCACACGATGCTGCAGGATACTTCAGCAGCAGACACAAACGCTACAGATGAAGACAAAGTCTGCATTTCCACACCTGACATCGCAGCTCGGACTTGTAGGAATCGGACAAACTCCTTTCGAGATATTGGAGAATGATCCTCAGCTGGCTGTGAATTCTGTTGAGAGAGTTGTTTAAAAGCTAATACAGCTAGGACTAAATAATACATTGCCTGGAAGAACAGGACGTGTGCATTCACGTTATTAAGGAAAACAAGTTACCTTAATAGCTATTTCTAGATGTTCAATTAGTGAATCGATACCAAAAAACCTGGCTTCTTCCAAAACACCTAACAAAACAAAGCAGTATTTGTTATTTACAGGGAGTCATTAAACAAGAGAGCACTCTTCTTCCCTTACTGGAGCAGGCAGCATACAGCCACACCAGCAACATGCCAGAAAGTTTGGGTTAATCCATCCTTATTATCGGAGGAGCATCGA